AAGGCCGGGCGGCGCGTGGGAGGGGTCGCCGGCGCGACGTTGGCGAAAGGGCGAGGGGGGCGCCCGCGCTGCCCAGCAAGGGCGGGGGGGGGTGGGCGGGGGGCGCTAGGCAGCGCAGGGGGCGCCTCAGACGGCGTCTGCCGTGGAGGCCGCCGTGGCCGCGGCCAGGCGGGCCGCTGCCACCCCCGCCCTTCCAGGGTCTGAAGGCGCCGCAACACCTTCCAGACAGGGTCTGAAGGCCCCTCCCTCCAGACTGTTGTGTATTTGTTGTGTTGTGTGTTTGGTGTGCGTGGTGTGTGTGGTATGTATATTGTGTGTTGTGTGTTTTGTGTGTTCTGTGTGTTGGGTCTGGCTGTGGCTGTGGCTGTGGCTGCGGCTGCGGCGTCCGTGCGTGTGGGTGCGTGTGTGTGTGGTGTGTGGTGTGTGTGCGTGTGTGCGGGTTGTGTGGTGTGTGTGGTGTGCGTGGTGTGTGTGTGTGGTGTGTGGTGTGTGTGTGTGTGTGTGTGTGTGCGTGTAGTGTGTGTGGTGCGCGTGGTGTGTAGTGTGTGGTGTGTGTGGTGTGTGTGTGTGTGGTGTGTGTGTGTGTGCGTGCTGGGTGTTGTGTGTGTGTGGTGTGTTCTGTGTGTTGTGCGTGTGGTGTGTGTGTGTGTGTTTTGCGTGTGTTCTGTGTGTTCTGCGTGTTGGGTCTGGCTGTGGCTGTGGCTGTGGCTGCGGCTGCGGCGTCCGTGCGCGTGGGTGCGTGTGTGTGTGTGTGGTGTGTGGTGTGTGTGCGGGTTGTGTGGTGTGTGTGGTGTGTGTGGTGTGTGTGTGTGCGTGTAGTGTGTGTGGTGCGCGTGGTGTGTAGTGTGTGGTGTGTGTGGTGTGTGTGTGGTGTGTGTGTGTGTGTGCGTGCTGGGTGTTGTGTGTGTGGTGTGTTCTGTGTGTGGTGCGTGTGGTGTGTGTGTGTTTTGCGTGTGTGGTGTGTGCGGTCATGCGTAAGTGTGCGTGTGTGTGGAGTGTGTGCGTGTGTGTGCGTGTGTGTGTGTGCGCGTGTGCGTGCGGGTGAGTGCGTGTGCGTGCGCGTGTGTGTGTGCGCGTGTGTGTGTGTGTGTTTGCGTGTGTGTGCGCGTGTGTGTGTGTGCGTGTGTGTGTACGCGCGTGTGTGAGTGCTTGTGTGTATGTGTGTGGTGTGTGTCTGTGTGTGTGACTGTTTGTGTGTGCGTGTGTGTGTGTGTGCGTGTGTGTGTGCGTGTGTGTGTGCGTGTGTGCGGGAGTGCGTGTTGCGTGTGTGTGTGTTTGCGTGTGTGTGTGTGTGCGTGTGTGTGTGTGTGTGCGCGTGTTTGCGTGTTTGCGTGTGTGTGTATGTGCGTGTGTGCGTGTGAGATTGCGTGCGTGTGCGTGTGTGCGTGCGTGTGTATAAGTGTGTGTGTGTGTGTGTGTGTTTGCGTGTGTGCGTGTATGTGTGTGCGCGTGTTTGTGTGTGTGCGTGCTTGCACGTGTGTGCGCGTGTACGTGTGTGCGCGTGTGCGTGTGTGTGTGCGTGTGTGTGTGTGTGCGTGTGTGTGTGTGCGTGTGTGTCTGTGTGTGTGCGTGCGTGCCTGCGTGCGTGCGTGTTTGCGTGCGCCTGTTTGTGTGTGGTTGTGTGGGGGGGGGGGGAGGGAGGGGGGACAGGCTAGGTGCATACGCGTCATATCTGGCGTCCTACTCCCCCCTCTCATCCTTTACCATGGCGCAGATCCCCTCTCCATTCGCACAATCGGATGTCGTAGCCTGGCATAGCATTGCACGGCACATCATGGTGTCGAAGATCAACGCGTAGCTTGGCATAGCATGGCATGGCGACGCCCGAAGATGGGGAGGGCTTCTACGGTCCAAAAAACCAACGGATCGGCACCGAATGTGTCATCACTTCCGATGGTTTCTCTGAGAGGCAATTTTCTAGATTCGGGGCCGATTTGGAAGGACCGAAAACATTGCCGGGGCATGGCACTCGAAATTATGACGCCAGCGCTTCAGTGGGAGCACGATTCGGAACGAGCGGAAGCGCGGAAATGAGGCCAGCGCTGCAGCGGGAGCACGATTCGGAACGAGCGGTAGCCCCGGAAATGAGGCCAGCGCTGCAGCGGACGCACCATTCGGAACGAGCGGTAGCCCGAAATTCAGGCCAGCGGTTCAGCGAGAGCAAGCTTTATACCTTTTATAATATTTCTGAAAATCTGTAGATATGTACATATGCCTTTCATGTGTAAAGCGCGGAAGCGCGGAATTGAAGACGCGTAGCCTGACATAGCATGATGTGGCGACGCCCCGACGCGAGGGGGAGAGTCGGGCTTCCGCGGCCCCAACAATCAAATAATCGGCACATAATGTGTAATCGTTTCCGATGGTGTCTTCGGGAGGCCATTTTCTAGATTCCGGGCCTATTGATGTGAAGGCCTTGCGGCTGGTGCCGCCCACCCTGAAGGTGTTGGCCGTCGATGGCGACGAGATGTGTGATCACAGGAAGGAGTTAAAGGACAACGTGACAAGGTAGGCGGCGGAAGTGTGTGAGGAGGAGGAGGAGGAGGAGGAGCTGGAGGAGGAGGAGGCAGAGGAGGAGGAGGAGGAGGAGGAGGAGGAGGAGGAGGAGGAGGAGGAGGAGGAGGAGGGGGTGGAGGAGGTGGAGGGGGAGGGGAGGGGGAGGGGGAGGGGAGGGGGAGGGGGAGGGGGAGGAGGAGGAGGAGGAGGAGGAGGAGGAGGAGGAGGAGGAGGAGGAGGAGGAGGAGAGGAGGAGGGAGGAGGAGGAGGGGGAGGGGGAGGAGGAGGAGGAGGAGGAGGAGGAGGAGGAGGAATAATCATAATAATAAGAGGAATAATAATAATACTAAGAAGAAAACGAATAATAACTAGAATATTAAGAATAGTAAGAATAATAAGAAGACAATCGTAATCATAATAATAATAATGATAATAATAATACTAAACAATAATAATCATACTAATAATAATAATAATACTAAATGCTAATAATAATATCACAATAATAATACGACTGCTACTACGAATAATAATAATAATAATACTAAGAATGAGAAGAAGACGAATAATAATAATTATAATAACAACACTAATCATAATAAGAAACCGAAACATAATAATAAGAATAATAAGAATAATAAGAATAATAAGAATAATAATAAGAAGAATAATAATAATAAGAAGAAGAAGAGGCGGAGGAGGAGGAGGAGGAGGAGAGGGAAGAGGAATAGCAGAAGCAGAAGCAGAAGGAGCAGGAGCAGGAGGAGGAGGAGGAGGAGCAGGAGGAAGGGGAGACAAACGAAAAGGAGATGGAGAAGGTGGCAAAAGACGCTCAGGAGGAGGAGGAGGAGGGAGGTGGTATTCTGACCCGGGACCCCCACAGGACCCCCATCCAGGACCCCCCCCGGGACCCCCCCCAGGACCCCCCCCCCCGGGCTTCCCCCCGGACCCCCCCCCCCCGGCCGGGGAAGGGAAAAAAGGGAAGGGGATTTTTTCGAGTCAATTTACTTTACGCAGGAGGAAGAGATGAAGGAGGAGGAGGAGGAGGAGGAGGAGGAGGAGGAGGAGGAGGAGGAGGAGGAGGAGGAGGAGGAGGAGGAGGAGGAGGAGGAGAGGAGGAGGGGAGGGGAGGGGCAGGGGGAGGGGGTGGGGAGGGGGAGGGGGAGGGGGAGGGGGAGGAGGAGGAGGAGGAGGAGGAGGAGGAGGAGGAGGAGGAGGAGGAGAGAGGAGGAGGAGGAGGAGGAGAAGGAGCAGGAGCAGGAGCAGGAGCAGGAGCAGGAGGAGGAGAAGGAGGAGGAGGAGGAGGAGGAAGGGGAGACAAACGAACAGGAGATGGAGAAGGTGGCAAAAGACGCTCAGGAGGAGGAGGAGGAGGAGGAGGAGGAGGAGGAGGAGGAGGAGGGAGGGGGTATTCTGACCCGGGACCCCCACAGGATCCCTCCCGGGACCCCCTCCATGCACCCTTCCAGGACACCCCCCCCCAGGACCCCCGGGCTTCCCCGGGACCCCCCCCCCCCGGCAGGGGAAGTGAACAAAGGGAAGGGGAAACCCTTCGAGTCAATTTACTTTACGCAGGAGGAAAAGGAGGGGGACGAGGAAGAGGAGGAGGAGGAGGAGGAGGAGAAGGAGGAGGAGGAGGATGAGGAGGAGGAGGGGGAGACGAGCGAGAAGGAGACGGAGAAGGTGGGAAAGGGAAGGAGGCACGGACGAGAAGAACAACCCATTCCACACGCCGACAGGGTCAGCGGATTTGGAAGGACCGAACACCGTGCCAGGGCATTGCACTCGAAATCATGACGCCAGCGCTGCAGCGGGAGCACGATTCGGAACGAGCGGAAGCGCGGAAATGAGGCCAGCGCTGCAGCGGGAGCACGATTCGGAACGAGCGGTAGCCCTGGAAATGAGGCCAGCGCTGCAGCGGACGCACCATTCGGAACGAGCGGGAGCCCGAACATGAGGCCAGCGCATCAGCGAGAGCAGCATTTTGAAAAACAACCCAAGCGAAAACCCAACTCCCGGGAATCCTGTGTGTAAAAGGCCTGTACGCGGAGGGGGGCCAGACATTCCCCGGACGCCACCATGGAAGAGAGGAGAGTAGTATTCATATTGTGTAATTGTGGAGGGGGGGGATGAGGTGCGCCCTGTCGGCGAGCCCATGCCTGGGGATGGAATCCGGGCGGGGAAGGAGAAGAGACCTCATCGGATGAGCGCCCCCCCCTACAGTGGAAACCCATGCCAAGAAACAGCCTGCTTGCCTCCAGGGTGCCCTGGGTTTCTTGGGCTTCGGTGGTTGTGCCACGGAGAGCGGAACGTCTCCGCACCAACAAAAAACGCTGGACGGCCTGAGATCTCAGTGCGGGGTTTCTTGTGGAAGGCTTCCTGTGGTCCAGCTCCTACGCTATGCTCTCTGGCTCCCGTCCTCGCTTCTGACTGGACCTCTCTCTCCCCTCTCTTCTCCCGGGAGCACAGTGAGCCCTCTCGTCCACCCCCCGCGCTGCCCCCAGGAGCGAGCCCATGGGCGAGTACGTGGCCCGGAGGGCGGTCCGCGAGGGGCGCGGGAGCGGCCTCCTCTCGTCGAGCATGGGACCGACTACATAATGGATTCACCCTAAGCATTGACATCACGTTGGATCTACGACTGCATACCCAGGATGAGCTCTGTAGATCTTCTGACACTGCTACATATGTTCTCATGGCTTCGGCGAGAAAATCCATGTTCGGGTACATCAATTCTGTAGTCGATGCCCTGGTCGATCCTGGGCCGCCCCCATCTCCTTCTCTCGCCTTCCTCCTCCGCCGCCTTTCTCCCGTCCCTCCCCCGTCCCGAAGGGCAGCAGAGCAACGAAGGGGCAACCGAGTGAGCCACAGCTCGAGGATGCCGCACGTGTCTCTCCCCCCCGTTGCCTCCTTTTTACGGCCTTCCCCTCCCGCCTCTAGTCGTGCTTCCCTCCCGCTCCGTGTCCCTCCCTCCCCCTCACCCCCCCTCGTTCTGCCCCATTCCTCCTCGCCCCTCATCTTCATGTTCCTCCTCCTCCTCCTCCTCCTCTTCCTACTCCACCTCGTCCTCCTACTCCTCCTCCTCCTGAAGCGAAGCCCGAGCAGGCTCCTCCACCGCCCAGGCTGCCCGCAGAGGCGCGGGGGGGGGGGGGCAGCAGCTCCTCGCGCGCCGCGGTCTAGACCGCAGGGCTGCCCTCCTCCTCCTCTGCCCCCTTTTTGTCCCGCTCCCTCTTCGCCCAGTGTCGAGGAGAGGTCGGCGGGGCAGCCTTCTCTCGATGTTTGCGTCTTTCTATCTGCTCAAAGTTCTCTCGAGCTTGCAGAGTAGACGAGGGTTCAGCCTTGCGCTCATACCTCCAACCATCCTCAACGCGCGAAAGCTTTTCAGGGTCCGCCATCAAACATATCCCTTTTTCCTCCCTCCACGCTCGTCCTCTTTCCGTCGTCCTCCCATCCACATCCCCCCGTATCCCTCTTGCTACCCCTTTCCACACCGAACCTCACCATCGTATTCGAATCGTGTTGGGATCTCGTCTTCCTTTCTCCTTCCATCCATTCACATCCGCCCCGTCCCCCTCTTGCCAAGTCGAGTTTCTGGAGACCGGTTTGCGATACGGTCCATAGTGGCACCGGCGACCCGCTGAGCAAATCGAATTTATGTTTGCGGCTGATGCAAACAATATCGTCCATGAAGTAACGTGGTTGGGAACAATTCTGCGTGGCATGCCGTCTTGCGTTGAGCATCGTGAAGCGAGCCTCAGCGCTCTGGTGCCCCCGCTGCGCTCTTTAGAGGGCCGCGCCCCGGCGCGAACTGCAGCGTCCGTCCGTCCGTCCGTCTCCCTCCTGCCTGCCTCCCACTGCCAACACCGGCTCCTACTCGAGTCGCGTGAGGCCACCGCAAGGATCCAGAACGATTGGAGGCGGAGCCGAGCGGTGAGGAAGGCGTAGCTGAACGGTGAGGGAGGCGGATGGCAGGATGGGTGGGAGCAGGTTGGGGGAAGCAGGGAGGATGGGGGAGGAGGAGAAGGGGGAGGAAGAGGAGGGAGGGGGGAGGTTGGGAGGCGTGGAGGAGGTAGAAGCTGGGATGCGGCTGGCGACTCGGACACTGAGGGGACAGAAGGGCGCAGGGATAAGGTTCTCGATTTCGATCTCCTCTCTCTCTCTCTCTTTCTCTTTCTTTCGTCTGTGTTGTTTGTTGTGTTTGTGTTTATCTGTCTGTCTGTCTCTGTCTCTGTTCTCTATCTCTCTTTTTATATTATATATATATATGTATGTATTGTTCCCGCGTTCTCTCTCTCTCTCTCTCTTCTACCTCTGTCTCCCTCTCTTCTTCTCTCTCTGTCACTCTTTCTCTTGTTCTCTTTCACTCTCGTTCTCTGCTTGTTTTTTGTCTATCTCTCTCTGTCTCTCTAGCTTGATCTCTCTCGCTCACCCTCTCTCTCTCTCTCTCCCTCGATCTCTCTTCCTCTCAGTAAGGTTTCTCTTTTCTATCTCTCTCTCTCTCTTTCTCGTTTACTCTCCCGATCTCTGTCTCTCTCTCTCTCTCTGTCTCTCTCCACCTCTCGTTCTGTCTATCCTTGCCCTCTCTTTCTCTTTTTATTGTTTGGTAGAAGTTCTCTCTTACTGTTTCTCTCTCTCTCTCTCTTTGTTTATTTCTCTCTGTCATTCTCTCTCACTCTCATGTTTCACATTCCGATTCTCATATTTCCCAACCACCCTGTGGTGTTGGGTCTTCGTTTTGAAGAGACGGTCCCCGCGTTCCTCCTCCTCTCCTCCTCCTCTCCTCCTCCTCCCCCTCCTCCTCCCTGCGTTTCACCCACCCGTACAGCGTTTCGTGGCCCCATAGGGAGCTCCACCGAAGGCCCCAGTGGCAGCGTTCGCATGGCGGCCCCGCCCCATTTCGGCACACCCCTCACGAGGATCGTGAGTCCATAGGGAGCTCCACCGAAGGCCCCAGTGGCAGCGTTCGCATGGTGGCCCCGCCCCATTTCGGCAAACCCCTCACGAGGATCGTGGCCCCATAGGGAGCTCCACCGAAGGCCCCAGTGGCAGCGTTCGCATGGCGGCCTCGGTCCATTTCGGCACACCCCTCACACGGTTCGCGGCCCCATAGGGAGCTCCACCGAAGGCGCCAGTGGCAGCGTTCGCATGGCGGCCCCGCCCCATTTCGGCACACCCTTCACGAGGATCGGGGCCCCATAAGGGAGCTCCACCGAAGGCCCCAGTGGCAGCGTTCGCATGGCGGCCCCGGCCCATTTCGGCACACCCCTCACGAGGATCGTGGCCCCATAGGGAGCTCCACCGAAGGCCCCAGTGACAGCGTTCGCATGGCGGCCCCGGCCCATTTCGGCACACCCCTCACGAGGATCGTGGCCCCATAGGGAGCTCCACCGAAGGCCCCAGTGGCAGCGTTCGCATGGTGGCCCCGCCCCATTTTGGCGCACCCCTCACGAGGATCGTGGCCCCATAGGGAGCTCCACCGAAGGCTCCAGTGGCAGCGTTCGCATGGCGGCCCCGCCCGATTTTGGCGCACCCCTCACACGGCTCGTGGCCCCATAGGGAGCTCCACCGAAGGCCCCAGTGGCAGCGTTCGCATGGCGGACTCGGGCCATTTGGGCACACTTCTCACGAGGATCGTGGCCCCATAGGAGCTCCAGCGACGGCCCCAGTGGCAGCGTTCGCATGGCGGCCCCGCCCCATTGCGGCACACCCCTCACACGGTTCGCGGCCCCATAGGAAGCTCCACCGAAGGCGCCAGTGGCAGCGTTCGCATGGCGGCCCCGCCCCATTTCGGCACACCCCTCACGAGGATCGTGGCACCAGAGGGAGCTCCACCGAAGGCCCCAGTGGCAGCGTTCGCATGGCGGCCTCGGACCATTTCGGCACACCCCTCTCGAGGATCGTGGCCCCATAGGGAGCTCCACCGAAGGCTCCAGTGGCAGCGTTCGAATGGCGGCCCCGCCCCATTTCGGCACACCCTTCACGAGGATCGTGGCCCCATAAGGGAGCTCCACCGAAGGCCCCAGTGGCAGCGTTCGCATGGCGGCCTCGGGCCATTTCGGCACACTTCTCACGTGGATCGTGGCCCCATAGTTGTGCTGGTTCAACAACCGCGCCTGGGCGTCGTACTCCGCCTTGTCGACGTGCAACGCCACCTCCTCCCTCATGGCTCTCAAGGCCCTCTCCTGCTTCTGCTCCTCGGTGAGAGGGACGCCGTCCTTGTTGTCGTCGGCGCCCGCGAAGACGGCCACGAACGCGTCCCTGAGCATGTCGGGCTCCGGCGGGGAACCGTGGCCACATAGGTCACATAGGGAGCGCGGGCCAAGATGGTATTCACAATTGCGGTATTCATCACTGCATATGGTTGGGTCCTTCGCCAGGCTAATTTCATTACCTGGACCCCTCCCACACCCCCGCCCCTAAACCGCCCCCCCCCCCAGGGACGCCCTGGACGCCCTTGGAAAAGGTCCACTGGCCCTTCCGGGCCTCCCAGGGCGCCTTGCCGGGCCTTGCGAGCAGACTCGAGGCGATCAGAAAGGTCATCGGGGAGGCGCAAGAGAGACCGAAGACAGCACAAGAGCGCGGCCCCCAAGACGCCCCAACAGGCTGTTAAGAGAGCCCCGAAGAAGCAAAAATCGTCCCATTCCCTCAGGAACATGTGTAAGCTTGACATATCCGCTGTTTGGGAATTCGCAGCTTCCAAGACGGGCCGATGGGCACCCGATATCGCCCCAAGACGGCAAAAGAGGCCCCCCGGAGGGTTTGAAGACGGCCCAAGAGGGCCCCAAGACTGCCCCAGAGAGCCCCGAGACTGCCCGCAAGAAACTCTAGATGCCCCCAGAAGGCTCCCAAGAGAGACCCACGAAAGCCATGGGAGACCCCCAAGAAGGCCACTGGAGGCCCCCAAGAGGGCCCTATATGGCTTCAGAAGAGTTCCGGAGGGCCCCCCAGCTCACCAAGAAGGCCCCGGGACGGCCCAAGAGGGCCCCAGGACGGCCCAAAAGAGCCCCACAAACGCCCAGACGGCGTGTTCCTACGGAGCACATCGAGCTGACCCGACGATCTTGGTTCCACGCTTGAGGCTCGACGTTAAGTTCCTCGATCGAGAGTGACAGGCGATGGATCTAGGTACGAAGTTCGACGACCGAAGAGTTCCTGAGTGCCTGGAGCCTTCCAGGCATACAGGAAGCTACCAATCGTCGATTTGGTCGGAGCTACTGCGACTTTTTCGGCGTGTCATGGGAACTCTTCTTACTTCCTCAAAGGACCTTCGCATGTGAAAAAACATCATTCGCCCCCGCTTCTGCGCACAAGTGTGCAAGGGCGTCGGGCGAACGCAGAGTCAGCAAGCACCAGGGATATCAGAAAAATGAGCCAGTCGCCTGTCCAGGCTTCGGGGTCCCCCCCACTGAAGCAAGCGGTGTTTTATTGCTGTGCCAGGGAGGGCCCGAGACAAAGCGCATGGCGCGAAACGCCAATGCAGCCTTGTATCTATCTGTATATGCATATACACAGGTGTGTATGTATGTGTATATATGTATATATATATATATATATATATATATATGTGAGGTGTGTGTGTGTGTGTGCCACCATGTCTGTCTCCGTGTGCAAGGTTTGCTTGTCTGTTGTTTTGAAACGTTATTATCTCTCTCTCTCTGTCTCTCCTTCTCACATGTATGTCCGTGCCCAGCCTCCCCTCTCATCCTTCATTTGGTTTGAATGACTTCGCCTGGTCGGGACTGTGATACGTTCCCTTCGATGTCATGTTGTGGTGGCGGTTCGCTGTTTCATTGTTATGTATGCTGGCGATTGTGGTCGTGCGTGTCGACGTGTCTAGTTGTTTGGAAAGATTGCGCGACGTAGGATTGGACCCTGTGTTTTCGGACTCTTCGGCATACGCGCTACGGTACCCAACGGGGAACTTAGGATGCAATTCTTGGGATGTTGATGCCAGCGTCGGCGTTGGTACATCGATTATCGAAAATCGGCATCACCTGACATTTCGCCGAATCCCCACTATTATGGCTGAGTCGGGCTCAATCGAGGCTGAATCTGGATGTGTGGCCTTTAAATCAAACTGAAAAGCCTTGTGTCGTCCCCTCGGCGTGACCTCCCAGGAGCTGCCCCCCGAAAGGAAAAAATCAGAAAGCAGCAGGCGGGGTGAAAACCGCTGAGTGATGAGGGAGAGTCAGGAGGGAAAAAAACACACAGACACAATTCATCCTCGATTCCCAGGATAATATGGGAAAATATGGGAATTGGGGGGGAAGACAAAAACCCAGAAAATATGAGAAAATATGGGGACTATTTTTATTTGTGTGTATTTATTTGTGTGTCCTAATTTCCCTTTAGAGAGGGTGGCAACGAGAGGGATAAGGACAGGGATGCCTCTGCCGGGCCCAGGACCAGGATCCATTGCTCCAGAGCGTCCCGGACCGCCCTCCAGACGTCCCAGACCGCTCTAGAACAGCCGCGGCGCAGATCGGCCCGTCCCCGACGAAGCTTGTCACAGTTAGCTCTTTTTGTTTGCGTAGGTTTGTCCAGAGTGAACGTCGATGGGGCGGAAACTCGGGCAGTTATCCCGGCGCTTGGAGTCAAAACTGTGTACAGCTTTCGTTGCGTTGCTGAATTTGGGGGAAAAAAACAACAAAAAAAAAAAAAAAAAAAAGCCGCGGCGCAGAACCGCTGGATCTCAGAGATCTTTGTTTCGTTTTGGTCCGGCTGGGGTATCCGAGATGTGATTGTTCAATGCGCAGCTCCAGGGGTCTCACCCAACCCCCCAGGGGTAGCGTTCCGCCCCAGAGCACTTGATGATGACTTTGGGGCCCGTTGACGCGCCCAACTGGCCGCAATCGGGGAAAAACATTGACTTGACCAGGCCGTCGCAGGACTGGGGGAGGAGGAGGGAGGGACGGAGGGAGGGAGGGAGGGATTGGGAGGGGGAGGAGGCAGAAGGAGGAGGAGGAGGAGGAGGAGGAAGAGGAGGAGGGAGGAGAGGGAGGGGTGGCCCCGTTTTCGTCTCAAACGTCGGCAGGCGACGCGGTGGCTGGTGGGCGTGGGAGGGCGGGGCGGCGCGGCAGGAGAGGGGAAGGGCGCAGCGGCGCCAGGTCACCATCTACCCGCTGTACGCGGTGCGGCCCAGCGCGCCCGCGCACCTCTGCGGGGTCCAAGGGTGTACAGTGGGGGCCCATGCCAAGAAACACCCTGCTTGCCTCCGTGGGTCTCTTGGCTTTCAGTGGTTTTGCCTTTGGGAGCGTGACGAAAACAATGGGCGTCCTGGGGTCTCATGGTGGGGTTTCTTGTTTTGTGGACTAGCCTCTATTGTGTTATCTTCCCAGCCTTTGGACCCGCCATATTTCTTCACCGCCGCCTGACTCATCCCCTCGCTCTCACACAATGGAACAGAGGAAGTGGAGGGTTGGATGAGGGTGGTGGTGGTAGTGGTGGTGTATCTTCTGGGGGGCCCGCAGTCATTGTCGCTGCCGCCAGCCGCTTTTCACTTGTCCTCGGCTTTGTTCAGGGTGCTTCTCCCTCTGCCCCTGACTTAGATGGTATAAAATGCAAGTTTTTCTCCACAGTTTTGAAGGTCGACGAGGCTTCGTTGCGGCTGCCGCTTTTGTTCACGTACCCTGGTCCAGGATCGGCCCGAGGCCCACCTGCCTGTGGTTGTTCTCCAAGGCTTCGTTGCGGTTCGAGTGCCTGTTCTGGATGTCAGAGTGCCATTGGCCTGACGCCCAATTTCTGGGGTGCATGTTTTAACACGCCGTGGTCCAGTCAAGAGCGAACCGTGGCAAGAGGGAAGAAGAGGCGCCCCAGGCGCTTGTAAGTCCAGGAATGTGGAAACAAGCCCGCCGCGCTTGTGGTCGTGCGGGGCTCACAAGTCGAATCGTGCGTGCGGGGGGTGATTTTGCCCACTGACTCGTGGCCGTTTATCGGTCCATGCTCCCGAAAGTTTCCTGGATCGGTTCGACCCGCAGCCTTTCGAATTCACGAATGGAGATGTACTCGCAGTGCCCAACGCTTGAGATGCGTTGTCAGAACGCATTTCAAGCTTATGCAAGTCACGTCTCCTAATACGACCCGGTGAACTCGCGCACGCGAGGAAAGATACGAGACATGCGTTATCGAGAGATTGCGGTCCAGGATTGATTCCTTCCGCTCCCTCCGCCACTTCCACCCGCTCCCTCCGTCTCCCCCTCCTCCGCTTCTTTCCTCCCCGTTGCCGTCCCTCTTCTCTTCCTACACCTCCCTCCCTCCCTCGCCCTCCACCCCCTTCACTCTCCATTTGGAAAAGTTCAAAAAAGAGTTGGCAAATAGGTATTTCCCGCTGCGCTGCATAATGCGTCTTTTCTAGCGGATCAATGACCTCTTCCGTGCTGTACGGCAGCGCTTGCTGGACCATGACGCCCGCGCGGGCTCGCAGGCTACAGGCTGAGGAGAGAAAGATGTTGCGGCGAATCGTTCAGACGCCGCGACGGCATTTCGAGTTGACCGATACGAAGAATCGAGCAGGAAAACGGGGTAGACTGGGTTATACGCGCCACAGGGCGGGCCGAAGGGCTTTTCCGGCGTGCTGGTCGCCGCAGTTGGACTGATCAACAGCAAGAGAGGAAGTGCAAGGACGGGCGCTGGTCCGCCAAGCTGTTGGACTGGACACCTGGGGGCACTCGCTTGCCTGCTGGCCCCGAAAGCGCTACCCAGATTGATCCAGCTGTAGTTTTACTTGGAGGAGGAGGAGGAGGAGGAGGAGGAGGAGGAGGACGATACTGACGATGCGAGCGCTGCTTCGCTGGGTGCTCCTCGGCGCACGGCCGCGCCGACCCAGCCACGAGAAGCTCTCCGCCTCCCCGAGGTCTCCCTGGAGCGGCAGCCCAAAAGAGCCACGCCAAGCCCCAACGGGCCCAGCCCGAACAGGCCAGCAAGCCCCCCCCCCAAAAAAAAAAACAAGCCCCCAGGCCCCACAGCCCAAGGAGACACAGACAGACGGGGAGGATCTCGAGGCTCCTCAAGCCTCAAGGACGCAGAATGCGAAGACCCGCATTCTGGGGTCCCCACGTCGGAGTTCAGCTTCTCGGAGCCGCTGCCGAAGTGCTTCCTCACGCTGTGGAAGATCTCCTGGATCGTGGCACCAGCCTCCGCGACGCTGCTCTCCTGCTCCACCTCCTTCTCCAGGACGGCTGGCACTTCAGGCAGCACCAACATCTTCTCCTCCATCTTCTCCTTCAACGGAAAGGCTGTCACTGCGGGCAGCACCATCACCTTTTTCTTCTTCTCCTTCATCACCTTCTTGCCGTGGCCTGGCACTGATGACAGCACCCCAGGCTTCTCCTCTTCATCCTTCTTCTCTTTCTTGTCGATGCCGCCAAGGGTCGCCACGACCTTGTTCGTGTCGAGCCTGCTCTCCGCCATCATCTCCTGTCCTGGACGTCCTCTGGCACTGTGACCAGCACCTTAAACGTGTCCTCTTGCTTCTCCTCTTCCATCGTGGGAAACGCTGGCGCCTCGGGCAGCACAATGGCGTTCTCCTTCTTCTCCATCTTCTCCTCCAGAAAGGCTGGCACTGCTGGCAGACCAAGAGCTTCTCCTTCTTCACCGTCTTCTCCTTCGTGTCATTACCGGGCACTGCTGGCAGCACCCCATGCTTCTCCTCCCTCTCCTTCATCTCCTTCTTGTCGCCGATGCCGCCAAGCGTCTGGACGATCATGCCATTGTCGAGCCTCCAAAGCGCCATCCTCTGGTCACGAGCCCTGGCCTCCTTTGCGAACGTCTCGCGATTGAGGGCGACCAGCTCTGACCACATCACCTCCTTCTTGGTGTACTCCTCATCGAAGTTCTCATCCTCCTCTCCGATGTCGTGCCACTCCGTGACGGTGCAGCCCATGTATTGGATGCCTTCGCTCTTCAGCACGTCGTAGTATTGGAGCCTCAGTACCTCGGTGTTGCTCAGACGCAGCTCGAGTCCACCAGGCGTGTTTCTTGGGCCTCCTTGCTCTTCTTCTCCTTCTTCTCCTTCGTGTCCTTCTTCTCCTTCAGGTCCTTCCCACGGCTGTTCACGTTGGCCCCCAACCAGGCCGCGGGAGGATCCTCCAGGTCGTTGCTTCCTTCTGCTCCTCGAGCGCGTCCTGGCAGCACTCGGAGCTGAGGGCGAGGCCTGGGGCGGTGCCCACGACCCTGGGGGAGGCGACGGAGGCCGCCACCTTGGTCAACCCGATGTCCTCGATCGCCATCAACGGGGTCTGGCCTGACCGCCAGCGAGGCCGTCTGCGGCCTGGCCTTGGCGGGGACGATCGCTACCACCGCCGCAGCCACCGCGCCGAGACTGCTGCGGCTGTGGCACCCTATGTCGAGGGTCATGACGTCCGTGCCAGAGGAGGACGCCCTCGTGGTCCTCGACCTCCACCTCGATTGCTTCCATGGGGCGTCGCCCGCCTGCGAGCTGTCGCGCCATGGCATGGCGGCCCCTGGCTGGCTCTCGCGAGCTGCGCCCCTTTCAAGTGCGCTCGCGAACGACCCCCCTCCTGGGCACCAGGGGGCCGGAAGGGGCTGGGAGGAGGAGGAGAGGGAGGAGGAGGGAGGAGGAGAGGGAGGAGGAGGAGGGGGAGGGGGAGGAGGAGGAGGAGGAGAGGAGGAGGAGGAGGAGGAGGAGGAGGAGGAGGACAGGTGGAGGTGGACGTGGAGGAGGAGGGGGAGGGGAGGGGGAGGGGGAGGGGGAGGGGGAGGGGGGAGGAGGAGGAGGAGGAGGAGGAGGAGGAGGAGGAGGAGGAGGAGGAGGAGGAGGAGGAGGAGGAGGAGGAGGAGGAGGAGGAGGAGGAGGAGGAGGAGGAGGAGGAGGAGGAGGAGGGAGGAGGAGGAGGAGAGGAGGAGGAGGAGGAGGAGGAGGAGGAGGAGGAGGAGGAGGAGCGAGGAGCGAGGAGAGGAGCGAGGAGCGAGGACGAGGAGCGAGGAGGAGGAGGAGGAGGAGGAGGAGGAGGAGGAGGAGGAGGAGGAGGAGGAGGGAGGGGGGGAGGAGGAGGAGGAGGAGGAGGAGGAGGAGAGGAGGAGGAGGAGGAGGAGGAGGAGGAGGAGGAGGAGGAGGAGGAGGTAGCGAGCCCAGCAGCCGTACAGGGGCACGTGCGCGGGACCTGCCGCAGCGCTGCTTCTTTCCCTCTCCCTTCCTCCGCCGACGAACCACGTCGACACGGCGTCGGCGGCGACGATAGGACGACCCGCGACCGACGGTTGACGACCGACGACCGTCGGCCGACGGCGGCCAGCGACCGACGTCGCATCCCGATCTCGGCACACGAATTACACGTCTCGTGTCGCCATAAGGAGATTCAGCGACGGTCGCAGTGACAGGGTTGGCACGCGGTTACACCCCCAATTCGGCGCAGTCTCACCCGTTTCGTGCCCCCGTAGGGAGCTCCACCGATGTCCCCAGTGGTAGGTTTCGCATGCGGCTCCCCTCCCCTTTCGGCAAACCTGGCACACGCTTCGTGCCCCCAGAGGGAGAGTGGCCGCACACGATACGCACACTTGCGCTGCCCACAGCGGCAAGTGGTTGGGACCGTCGCCCGGATGATCTGGAAAAGCGCAGCCTCACGGGTCCCGACACCCTCCTCTCGGGGGTAGCTTCCCGCCCGAGAGCCACTTGTAGTGGCCCCTGGGCCCGAGGACAGGCCCCAGGGGCCGCAACCGGGGACCAACGCGGGAGTTGGAGCGATCAGGCCGTTGGAGGAGGACGAGGAGAAGGACGAGCAGGAGGAGGAGGAGGAGCAAGGAGGAGGAGCCAGGCGGAGGAGCAAGGAGGAGGAGGAGGAGGAGGAGGAGGGGGAGGATTGACGAGGAGGAGGAAGAGGATGAGCCACATTCCACGAAGCTCATTGAAGACCACCCGCCCTCAATCCGCAACACCCTTGCTGATATTCAAGCACGAATGTGCGCGGCGCTAAGGCGAGAGCCACATTTGGAAAACGACCCGCCATCAATCCGTCAAACTTTTGCACGTCCACATTTTGAAAACCACCCGCCCTTCATCTGTGAAGCTCTTGCCGGTTTATCAGATTCAGGTTCATAAATGGTGAGGATGTCTCAGGCGAGACGCCCGTCTTGCCATTTCGACTGGCCTTGGGGCTCGATTCGGAGGAGGTCTTTATAAGGATAAGGAATGGAGGAGGAGTAGGAGGAGGAGGAGGAGAAGGAGGAGGAGAAGGAGGAGAAGGAGGAGGAGGACGAGGAGGTGGAGCAGGATCAGGAGCAGGAGGAGGAGGAGGACGAGGAGGAGGCGGAGGGGGAGGAGGAGGAGGAGGAGGAGGAGGAGGAGGAGGAGGAGGAGGAGGAGGAGGAGGAGAAGGAGGGAAGAGGAGGATGGGGAATGGAGGAGAAGGAGAAGGAGGAGGAGCGGGAGCAGGAGCAGGAGCCCTTGGAGGAGGAGGCTGTGCGCACCGCCGCCTTCGCCCCGCCAGGTGGGCGTGCTGCTGGCCCTCCTCGTGGCCAAGTCCCGCTGCGAGGCGCCCTCGGTCCAGGCCCTCGTGCTCCAGGCCTGGCTGGGCCAGGCGTGGGCGTGGCGCCCAGCGGCCCTCGGCGCCCCTCGGCGCCCCTCGGAAGCCTTCGGCGGCCCTCGGCGCCCCTCGGCGCCCCTCGGAAGCCCTCGGAAGCCCTCGGCGGCCCTCGGCGGCCCTCGGCGGCGGCCCTCGGCCACCACCGGCCACCTTCGGCGGCCCTCCGCGGCCCTCGGCGGCCCTCGGCGGCCCTCGACGGCGTTGTCGCCGTCGTCGGTGGCGTCGGAGGCCCACACACGAGCTGATCAGCCGGCGCGAACCAGGCACCGAGGTTGGCCCCCCCCGTGACTTTCATTACACCCGTTTGACGATCCGTTGTCGACCGGTGCTCTCGCTCTCGCACGATCTCTTAGACGCGATATAGTCAGCCAACACAAACCAACCCCTGAGCATGTGTTCCCTATGCTTCCCCACTGCACTTGTACCGGGTCTGTGCCGACGGGCCTGCGTGTGATCGTGCAATCGAGTGGTCGAGGATCGACGCCGAAACCTCCAGAATAGCGGATCGAACGTGTCGGGCTTTCTCTCTCGGCCAGGCGCGCCTTCCCCGCCACGGCCCTGGGTCCGCCTGGACATCCCTTCGTCCTCGGTCGCGGGAAATCGAAGAGAGAGAGAGAGAGACAGAAAGAAAGACAGAAAGAAAGAAAGACAGAAAGAGAGAGAGAGAGAGAGAGACACCCACCAACAAAAAAAGAACGCGAGGGAGCGGTGGAGGAGGCAGGAGGGAGAGGAGGAGGAAGAAGGTGGATAAGTATGAGCGAGGAGGGATGTGCGATGAGGAGGGACCCTCTGGCTGACAAGGCTGCGCTGAGCCGACCCCTCCTTCGCCTCCCTTTGTTGACTTGGGCTTGATAGCTACTTCGTGGCCGGCCCGGGTTCGCGACACGGTCCCGCGCGGACCAAGGTTACTGTTGACCCAGGTCGGAGCGTCTCTTCCTCCTCCTCCTCACATCTTCATGCTCCTTCTTCAACTCCTGTCTCGATGGAGGCTATCCCGAAGATTTCGAGTGCTCCCGAACGGTCTGCGCAGTTTTGCCTGCGAGAGTCTTTCGGCGGCGAGCGAGGGGGGGAATGAGAAGGAGTAGGCCTTCTCAGAAGGCGGCGGGACTTCTCAGAAGCCCTCGCGCCTTCTGATATGTTTTATCTTCGGGGAAGGCTCAGAAAACTTCTAAGAAGTCTGGGGGACTTCCAATCCTTCTGAGAAGGCCTTCCCCTTCTCACTTCCCCCCTCGCTCGCCGCCGAGTCTTGGGTCCAGCCAGCGGCGAGCCTGAGGTGCCCCACATGACGGAGCACGTGGTGCAGATGCAGTGCTGGTTCCTGTCGTGCCTGGCAGCCCCGCCCGCACGAAAAAGGGACAGACGTCCAGCGCTTCTCTCCGCGCCGATATGCTCCGTGGTGGTGTTTCTCTGAAGTTGCTCTCAGTCGGGCATTTTTTCACAGGAGGAATATTCAAAGATAGTCCAAAGCATAGTCCGGGGACGTTGTTTCGACTATGTGTTGATCATCTTTGCGTTTTTGTCGACTATGTTTAATATTTCTTCCAACATCCGCTTGCAGGAGGACATGCCCGACCTAAGAATTGTGAGATTCGCCCTGCCACGTTTCGAATGATACAGAACTGCGAGGACACAGGATTGCTGAACTTCTCGGGTTGGTGTGGGTCCCCCGTTGGCGCCGCTCCTAGGCCGAATGATGAAACCCGCGCGGTCCTCCGAGCGCATGTTCATGCAGATCTTCGTTCTCGGCTGCCGTCGCCGTGTCAGTCGTGCGATGGTTGCGCCGTGGCGTGCAGAGGCGTCCCCGCTCTGTGCATTCGCTGCCTCGCCGCTGTCGTGGCGCGGCCGCAGAGGAGCACCAGCTCGTCCTCGATCTCTTCCGCCTCGTCATGCTCATCGTCGTCGCCACTATCGTCGACGTCGTCCTCCCTCCCGGGGAGAACCCCGGGCGCCGATTACGCCTCAGGAGTACGTTCTTGGAAACAACCGCACCCACAGGAGCAGTGCCGAGAGCTTTGGCAACGTCAAAGCAGAATACGTCAAACTTAACCGCCCCGCGCGGACTCCAGGGTCGAGGGCCGCCGGATCTTCCAGAACCCCTGGCATGCTTCTAGAGCCAGTCGCCTCGTGACAGTTATCGTCCCATTCTCTCCGCCTTCCTCCCTCCCCCTCCTTCCTCCACTCCCCGCTCGCGCGCGAGGGGTGGGCACTTCGAGCAGCAGCGCTTCCCGTTGTGCCCGACATCGGTTTCGACATTCGGCTCCTTGGGCTCCAGGATGTGTCCCCCACGTTAATTACAGTCGACCCGCACAGTAAGGATGGGCAATCTTCCCAAGGTTACCCTTGCATCCTCCCCTCCTCGGTCCATCCTTGGCCACTTTCGTTGGCTGCGCCCCGCTCGAAAAGCTTCGAAACGGCCTTCCAAGGCCCTTGCGTCCTTACCGCGCATCCGTATGATGCGGGCCGACTGAGTAGGCTCCGGCCGGTCGAGGTCGAGTGATCCGCGCAGCGTCGGAGCCCAGTGCCGACGTCATCGCGATTTCGGCCTCTCCGCGCAGCCCTGGTCGTGCGTTGCCCTTCTCTTTCAAGGGAGGCCCAGACCCAAAAATTGGCGTTTACTAACCGGCCCTGGACGTTTACTTGACAGCCCTGCCCTGTTCGATTCTTTCTTCGAGGGCCCCTACTAGAAGTCCTCGCGTGTCGGGGTGGTTCTCTTGGGGGTGGCTTTTTGCCCTCTGCTCTCCTCGCCCCCCTGGGGCCTCCCGGGAGGCCCCTCGTCGCCAGGAGCGCGCGCCCCGTGGGCAGGTCCCGGGCGCAGCGGCACGACGGGCCGACGGGCCGAAGAAGAACACCACGCATGCAGCGGAGACCTGCAGTGGGCAGTGGGCCATGGAAACGCCAGGGCAGTTTTTTTACAAGGGGGGCAAGGCTAGAGGCGAAGGCAGAGGCCGACGCAGAGGACGAGGCGAACCCAGCATCAGGAGGTAGACAACCAAGACGTTTTCCCACGGAAGACGGCCCAGACTCTCTCCCAAGGGCGACCCAAAAGGCAAGTCCAAGGGCAAGGGAAAGGGAACGGTCAAGGCATCTGGCAAGACGAGCGCCAGGACTGGCGCTGGCGCACGAGGCAGCGCGAGAGGGTCTGGACGTGGCAGATCCGCCGGAGGCAGGAGGCGAGGGAGGGGGACGTGACGGTGAGGCTGGCCCGTCTGTTCCTGCAGTTTACTCGACATTCCCCCGCCCCTCAAGTTAACGCTGTGCGTACATGTAATGATCAACCAGATTCTGTGAAGGCCTTGCGGCCAGCGCCGCCGACCCTGAGGGCGGGACATCTCCCAGAACCCTTGCTGGCGCCCCTTCTGGGGCCCGCCGGGACCACGGGGGAGGCGGCGAGGTTTGCAGGCATGCCTTGTGCAATGCCGGCGTTGCGCTCCGCCAGTGCCCGCAGTGTCTCGATTTGCCGTCTCCTTCCGGCGCTGCCCGCAGACAGGGATGTTTGTTTTCGCTTAGCCCGCAAGAGTGATTTGCATGATCGTGACATGCATCCAGTGACTGGCCCTGCTTACAGTGATACATTCGCTCCATACACGCTCCATACAGTTTTGGGGCGACGTTGGCCACTTATTTGATCGGAGCTGCTCGTGAACCGTGCGGGGTTTTAGACAACAAGGCGCTCGAGCGAGCCATGCGTTCAGACCTGGACGCTAGCAGGTGCGAAAACATCGTGTCGCGCGTTGGAACCACCGTCAAGTCGCAGAAGCCTCCTGGCAAGATGGAGTCGTGCCTCCTCCATTGCAGCGTTCGTAATCCGATGACTCCGGCAAGGCGGTGGATCTCCCACACATGGCTCCCCCATCTTAGGCGGGTTCCGTCTTTGGCTCGCGACAACCAACACCTATTACATATCCCTTCACGCACAGTTGCGCCAGCTTGTTACCATCCAGTTAAATATCACGTAATTTTTATGTGTAGTTTGCATGCCGATGTTGTCACGCAATGTTCCGTTTTTGACGGTGTCCAAGATTCTAAGAAGATGCATACGCCGAATTGTTGTCTGCGGTTCTGGATTGCCGTTACGTGTCGTGCCCCGTTGCTCCCGACAAGACCTGGAAGGTCATCGTCGGCGCTGACTTGGGACCCCCCTGTAGTGGGGATGTTGACGGCGCAGTATACCATAAGCAAGTTGATCGCGACAGCGTGTCTCAAGATAGTTGTTGTGACCTGCAGGCTATCGTAGATTGTATCCGACACCATGACGACATTATTCTGGTGCGTTCTGGCTCCAGAGTTTTGTTGGATGCTTTCATTGGCAGGCTGCGAGAGCTGCCAACAGCGTTTCAGCCAGAAGTTGACAGTTTCGTCGCCGATGTGGGTCAGATGATCGACGTCGTGTTCTACCGCGGGCGCGTGTGGCGCATCACGGGCATCGTGGGTCATTGCCTGCATATTAAGCGGTCGCCTTTGTGGATCCCAGGTGCTCTCACCGAGCATGGCCGCTGGCTTGCACGCCTCGCGCACACCGATTGCGTTCGGATCGGAAGTACGCCAACAGTGAAATCAATGATCGGTGCAGCATGTGGCGCCAGCGGTCCTCACGCATATCACTACGACCCGTATTCCGCATCCCTGGCGCAATTGTCCGTGGGCAGCAACCTCCGATTCGTATTGTGATGTTGTGTTGCAGCAAGTGGTGTGGTGCAAGCGTGCAGCGTCTAATTCATCGCGCTGTGATGTGAAGCCATGGCGTTCTCAACGCGGAGATTTCTCGCACGTCGTCGTCGCATGGTCTTCGGCCACAAGTATGTTGTGCAAATGGTCAGACTTGCTTTCTCGAGGCAGGGTGCGGCGGCTTGCGCATTATATGCGCTGCGACTGGATAATGGTTGGTCGGGATTGGTTGGTGGATGCACTGTTTAGCGTTATCTTCCCGGCATCAGTGCCACGGCGCCGACGGTAGGCAAGGCATCTTTACATTTTCGCGTTTTCGCCCGAACCCGCTGATCAAACAATGGCACAGCCAAGTTTGCAGAGTCTTGGCCGAGCATAACCGCGTTCCCGTGGTAATGCTGAGTCCCCTCCTCTGGGGGTCGTCAACGTCGATTATTTGCGGCCTGTATACGGCACAAGAACAGGGAAGGCGGCAGGTCGAATTCTTTGATCCCCCGCCACAGTTCCAATCATAGCTCTGATCCTCGTGTCATGCACAGCACCGTGGAGAATCCTTTTGCGCCTACCGATTCAGTTTCAATTGTGTGGGGATCTTTCCGGCGAGACGGGCATGTTCGAAGATTCGACACATTCGCGATTAGCAGGTCATGAAACACCGATCCAGACATCCCAGCAACGATACCATCTGGAAACAGCTTCGGATCTTCCCAGGACCCCGTACTTTCTTAGCATCACGGGATCATTCTCTCGGGTATGGGGTTACACAACGTCGCCAGAGCGCGTGTGTTGCCCAGTCCCGCGCTTTGGACCACCATTTGTCTGCTGCGTCCTTGGAGCCAGACCAATTTGTGGTGGCCGTTGGGCCCAGATCTTGGCGACAATGCCCGGTGTGAAGAAATTGCACCGCCCTGATCTCAGGTTGGTCGTCGTTGTGGTCGCCGCTGTTGCCGCCATCGCCACCGTGGTCGTCGCGGTGGTCGTTGGAAGAAGACGTTGCGTACACAACAATGTTCTGAGCTCCTCGCGATTTTCTTAGATCGGCGCTGGGCCTCTTTGGCGGCGCCTCCAGCGCCGCAGCGCGGGTTTTCCACTCGCCAGGGAGGGGGCCCAGCGCAGGTCAAGCAACTCCGCGCCCAGCTCAGAACGTTCATGTTTACGCAGTGTTTCCCGATAGCGTTTTGCTTGAGGTGTTTTGACAGTTCGTGTCAAGAAAGACCACAGACGAGTTCCACAGGGGGGAGACGGGGAGCTCTAGAGCTCCGCCTGAGACAACCTCACAATTGATTTTCAGGAATCGTGCTCTCGTCCCAGTGCCAGCTATTTTTTTGGCGAGGACGGCCACGGTCCCTCGCGTAAGAAACGCCAAGGTGCACATGCCAGTGCTGTCATCCCTGTCCCGGCTGCGCTCCAGGCCCGTAGACGACCTCCCACTCTTCGGCCCACCCCTCCATATTTTGTTGCTATATGAGTGCTCTGCTGGGGACCTCCTCCTCCTCCTCCTCCTCCTCCTCCTCCTCGTCCTCGTCGCCCACCTGGGCGGCGGGCGAGGTGCTCTACTGGGCGGCCTTCCAGCCGCTCTTCCGCCGTGTGTCAGGCCTCGGGCTGGCCCCCGCGCTGGGCGCCATCCTGGCGGGGGGGCGGGCGGAAGGGCCGCTACGTGGGAAGGACCCGCACCTCTGGCAGTGGCGAAGCGTCCTGGCGTGCCTTTGGGCCCACCACAGAATTTTACAAGAACCTTGTGTGGCCTACACGAAAGGTTCTTAGAACATCTCTGGCTGAGCTTGTCTTGTTTGAGCACATCGGGTTTCTGTTCTAAGAACATGGGTTTTTGATATTAGAGCATGTTTGGGTTCTACGAACATGTCGTGGTAGGCCTCTAGGATTGCCGGGACGGTCGGTCCCCGCTCAAGCGGGGGGAGGACTAGCATCGGGGGGCACGAACGCATGGACTACCCAGACCCCCTCTCGTCGAGTGCTTCGAGGATCGAGGCTTCGAGGATCGAGGCTCGACGCTTGCTGGGCCTCTGGGGGAGGGCTCCTCGTCGCCACGGCCGGATTCGCTTCCACCACCTGGTCAGATCGCGCCCCCGGGAAGAGGCCCCGCTTCCAGACATTATCGGCGCGCTGCGTCGCCACAAGGGGCGGTTGCCTTCATTTTCGCGGGCTGCTCTCCCCGATCCGTGGATCTGGCGCCCAGGTGCCAGATCCACGGGGCCGCACTCCATGGCGGCGTGTGCCGGGCAGCATGCCGTCCTGATCCTCCCCCCCCCTCCCAGGCCACGCGCAGGGCTCGTTTCGATTCCTCCGATCCGATTCGATTCGATTTTGATGGCTTCCGATGCCGATTCGCTTCGACTTGGGATTCCGATTTGGGTTCCGAATTCTTAATGGAGGCATGCTAGACTGCCGATTTCCGCCGTTTCTACTTTTCCCGGCTCGGCTGCCGATTTCCGCCGATCCGATTCATTTTGATCGCCGATCCGACTTATCGATTCGACTCTGGGCTCTCCTGCACTCGCGCGTCTATTATGATTAAGACGTTGGTTTGTTATTATGTGAACCCGTGACGTCCGTCACGGGGATCCTCTCCCTCTTCCCCGTAACGGTAACCGCATCAAGCCTTTAAGAACCCCCCCCACCCAACCTCCCTCATCCGGTGAAAGTATAACGCATCCAGCACCCTGGAAGCGTTACCTCGGCACCGGAGGAGCCCGCAGAGAGCGCTCGGGGCCAAGCTAAGCCTTGCTGAGCCCTGCTAGCTCCCGCTAAGCCCTGCTAAGCAGTGATAAGCCAGGCTCGCCCCCTGCTGAGCCCTGCTAAGCCCTGCTAAGCCCATGCCAAGCCTTGCTACCTCCTGCTGAGCGCCGCTGAGCGCTGCTAAGCCGCTGAGCTGCTGAGCGCCACGGAATGTTGTTTTTTTGATTTGTGCGAGGTGCTAAAGATATCGTTCTGCGAAAACGACCCCCTGAAAATATTAAATCTTGGTGCGGTGCTAACGATAACTCGGGGGGGGTCTTAAAGACTTGCCGGGGTTACCTAAAGTACGCGGGGAGGGGTGCATGTTCCCCCACAGCATGGCGCGGTGTTCGCAGGCATGTTGCGGTGTAGACAGGGACGTTTTGGTGTTCACAAGCATGCTGTGACGCTCGCAGGCCTGAACACCCCCTCCCCTCGTAGTGGACGGACGTTACGGGGGGGAGATTTAAAACCAACATGTAGTGAGGGATGGTGGTTTCGGGAGAGCGCCTCCATTGTAATTTGCAAGGGTAGCGTCTTCGGCAGCTTGCACCCCTTATCGAGGATTCGTGGCTCGAATTCTCAAGAAGCGATAACCGAACACCACGGAGATTTATCCCACAGGGATCATAAAGTTCGGGGTCGCGAGGGGATTATAAATGCCTACCGGAGGCCAGCATTCGGGAGGAGAAAGAGATGATGTTAAGAGGATCGAAAGCCGAGGATCGAGGATCGAGAATCGAAGTCCGAGGATCGAGGATCGAGATCCCAGAGTCGAGGATCGAGGTCCGAGGATCAACATCCTCGACAACGTCTTCGCTTCGTTTGATGTTGCTATCTCAACATAAGAAGGCAGTTAACCTCGATGGTGAACTTTTCACAGTGATAAAAAAGTTTCGGCCTCCGCGCCCCGCGCCCCTGACCAAACTCTTCTTGGCCGTGGATAATCAACTCTAACCTGGAAAGGGGGGGGGTCCTTCTTTATCATCGGCACAAGGTTAGGCGGACATCCCAGTACATGAAAGGATTCGCCACGTTCCCGCCCTTGGCCCCCCGTTGCCGCCTGGTTGCCGCCCATTGCCGCCTGGGGGTCTGGTGAGAATTCGAACGTTTCCCTTTGCCGCCCGTTTTTTCCTCGTTGCCGCCTCGTTGTTGCTTCGTGCGTTTGGTGGGTGTCCCAAGTTATGTCGCCCGGCTACTCGGTATTCGAAGTATGCCGCATGCCACAAGTGGAAAGCGGGGTATTGCAGAAGTACGAGTGTGAGACAGAGGCGACATGGAAGTATTCAAACTTATGGAAAAGTATGAATCTAATATCCAGGTTTGTCCAAGTTGTTCTCTATTTTCAGCAAAGTCACACATTGGGGGGAACTTGTTCCAACAATTTGCAGCTGTTTTCAAACATCCAAATCTAGGCGAAGTTCTTCAACTTTCCTTCTAAACCTTTTCGAACTTCCAAATCCAGATGAAGTTGTTCCAATCCATTTCTCACTTTCTCAAAGTTCCAGCTCCTGGAGAACTTTCCCAATTGTTCACCATTTCTTTGTCCCCAAACCGTTTGATTTTTCTACCTTCCAAATCCTGGCGGATTGTGAAAGTTCTAAAACTGTTGCGAACTTTCCAAATCCATGCGGGCCGTCGTTCAAACTTTTGTTTGAATTGCCCCAAGCATGGTTCAATGCTCAAAATGTGGGGCGAAACTGTTTAATATGTTTTCGAGTGTTTTGATGTTTCAAATGTTCCCGATCTGCACGCACTCTTCCCGAATCTTAAATCTGGATAATTTCACGCTCATACTTCGGCCGCTTCGTTATTTGACATATCTTAGACTTACTTCAAGCTTTGATTAACACCCGAGCTTCAACAGTTTGCCCGCTCCAGGGCGACAGGAGTCCCGAGGATTCGCCAGTTGCCGCCAGTTGCCGCCCCGCCTCGTGCGCCGGGCGGGTGTCCCGAGGACTCGCCGCGATTCCGCCCGGCGTCGCCTCGTTGACGTCTCGTGTAATCCGAGCGTCAAGAGTACGGAAAGCTGGGTCCTCTCTGGAGGGAGCCAGCTTCCTGTCAGCATCTCTGTAGACGCGAAGCGTCGCCACGCAGCTCCGACCACACGGCTTCCACCGCATGGCTTTCGCCACACTTTTTTTACAGACACGCCGAGAGCCCCGCGGCAGAGGAGGAGGGAGGACGAGGGAAGGGGAAAAACCTGCAACCAATCCGGCTTCCACCACATCGCGTCCACCAGCGTGTGAGACCTCACTGTCTGGGCTCCACTCTGGCACACTTTGTCTATGAGCTCTGCCCTCTAATCATGGCGGGGGCCATGAGATCCCCCCATATATCATTCGAAGAAGGAAAAAAGGCCATGAACATTATTCTTTGCGTGGAGCTCCCAATCTGTGCATCTGTTTGCATGGACTGGGTGCGAGTGAGTCTGAGTATGAGTATGATGAGTACGAGTCTGAGCACAAGAGAGTCTGGGACATCCTCGCAATCTGCCCCCCTGGGGTGCGAACGCCCGTGAGTCTGAGTATGAGTATAGTGGGTTCGAGTCTCAGTCTGAATGGGTCTGTGTACGAGTGAGTTTGACTACGAGTGGATCTGAGGGTGGGTGGGTCTGAGTGTGAGTGATTCTGAGCGTGAGTCAGTCTGAATGTGAGTGCGTCTGAGTATGAGTATGATGGACATGACACTTGCCCTGAGTGGGTCTGAGTACGAGTGAGTCTGACTACGAATGAGTCTGAGGGTGGGTGGGTCTAAGTGTGAGTGAGTCTGAGTGTGCGTAAGTCTGGGTGTGGGTGAGTCTGAGTATGAATATGATGAGTGCGAGTCTGAGCATGAGTGAGCCTGAGCACGAGTGAGTTTGAGCATAAGTGAGTCTAGGACATCCTCGCAACCTGGGGCCTCTGGGAGTGCGGGAATCAGCGCCTCGCCATAGACATCCTCAGAATCTGCTTGGACAGCAGACGAATCTGACCACCACAACACGCAAACCGCTTGAGACATCCTCGAAATCTGGCCGCCCTGGAGTGCGAAAACCAGCGCCTCGCCTGGGACATCCTCAGAATC